GCTGGTCTGGGGCCTGCCTTGTCTGTGTTCACATTTCGGCCCCCCTCCCCCCACACAAATGTCCAAACACACAGGGCGTGTCCTGGGAGGGTCTTGGGGACACAAATTGAAGGGTCAGGAGAGGGGCGATACCAGAGAGCACCCCAGAATAGTGAGGGCTTGAGGGCGCCATTGGGGGCTTTCTAAGACCCAGAGACTGAGACAGGGAGAGGCAGAGCCATCCTAGGGACAGGTGGGGCAAGAACCCGCATCACCCTCCCGTGCTCATCTCCAACACCCAGTGCCTCTCTGTAGCCCTGCCCGACCCATTGCTGGGGTCCTCCGCCCCCCACCACTGGGTCTAGGCTACACCTCCTCCCAGCCTATCCACCAGCTGATTCACCCACAACCCCTTCCCCCTGTGCCCCATTCTCCCCCCTGCACCCACCTGCCCACACCCAGACCTGCCCCCTGGCTTCCCAGCTCCTCTTTCCCAGCCCACAGCCCACCTGCTGAATGTAGTTGACAAACTTGCACATGAAGTCACCCAGCACCCAGGCAGGCAGTGGGTAGAGTAGGGCGGTGAAGGGCACACAGCACAGCAAGAAGGTCATGTCCGTGGCTGCCAGGTTGGCTGCAGGCGGGAGATGTTCGGGCTCTGGACATGGGGCGCCGGGCCTCCGCCACCCAGCGCTTCTGGCCCAGCTCCCTAGCACTCACCTTTGTCTGAGTGACCAGCAGGGCAGCTGCAGAAGGCCCCCTGCATCCTTCAGTCTCCCCCTTTTACATTTCAGACATCCCCACACCGGCTTCACAGCTATTCAAGCTTCAGTGGGCCCCGCTCACCCCTGTCTGGGCTGGGAGAGCCTGAGCAGGGCCCTGTCCCTCCGAGCCTCAGTTTCCTCCTCTGCAAATTGGAGACAGCGGTGCTGGCCCAACACCCACCATAGAATGGAGAACAGAACTGAGCACTCACCTGTATGGCAGGCCATCCCATGACACCAGGGTGCAAACTGAGCCACTGTGGCAGAAACGGCAAACTGGGGGCCCAAGGACCAAGCAGTCCCTCCCCTCCACTGCTCTTATTCATCGAATACTGTGTCATAGACCACATTTCAGCCGGACAGCTTCCTCGAGGGGGCAGGGGCGAGCTCTCCAAGCCACACTCTCCAACCTTTTAACTGCTGCGACCCCATGAACCCTCCGACCTCTAGCCTAAGGCACAGGGCCAACAGGGAAAAGAGCGGAGACCAGAGACCAGCGGGGGGACTCCTCTCTGGGAGGGCCCGGGGCACCGCTAGGGGGCGGCCCCGCCATTCCCTCGTGGCGACAGGGGGACTGGCAGACGCGCAGCGCGCAGCGCCGAGGTGCTCACCTATGTAGAAGTTGGTCACCGTGCGCATCTGCTTTTGGCGGCAGATGACGAAAATGACCAGCGAGTTCCCCGTCAGGCCGAGCAGCATCAACGCGCCGAAGAAGAGCGGCACAAGCCAGGCGTCCACGGACCGCATCGCGGGGACCGGGCCGTCCGAGGCGTTGGCGCCACAGCCCGGACAGCCCGATGCGTTGGCCAGCGCCCACCAGGACGCATTGGGCCCAGACTTGGCCAAGGCGCGCATGACTTTGCCGCCCTCTTTCTATCGATCGCTCTCCGGGACGTCCGGGGATGCCCCTGCGGACCCCGGGGAGGATCTCGGCTGGAAGCCACCGGGCTTGGAAGGTGGCTCCCCCGGACTCAGCGGCGCCTCTGCTCTTGCCGCAGCCGCCTCGAATTTATACCCCATTCCCGCCTTGTCCCCGCCTTCCTGCCTCTCCTGCAGGCCTCTCCACTCCTTCCCCTGCCCGTGGCCCTCCGCGCACCGGTCCAGCAACCTTACCCCCATTCTCTCCTCCCCCTGAACGGCTGGGAGAGAGCACTGGAGAAGAGGGACTGGAGGAAGGGTTGGGGCAGAGCGGGATGGGATGGGGTAGGCTGCTGTGCAGACTGGAGGGACCCACCCTGACCAGGGGGTCTGGACTCACTGCCCAGGTTCTGGCGGTTAGAAGATGCCTCTTCTTTAAAGAACACAATCTCCCCAGATTTGGGTTGCTGCAAATCAGACCCCTTAGGCGTGTCCACCTCCCAGCTCATGGGCAGCTATTGGCAGACACCTGTACCGCTGGTGGTAGGTGCCCCGTGGTGGACGCTGTTGTACCTGAAAATCCACACCTAGAAATGGACCCCTTGACCGGAATCGAACCTGGGACCTTTCAGTCCGCAGGCCGATGCTCTATCCACTGAGCTAAACCGGTTTCGGCGATGCCTCTTCTTTAAAGAACACAATCTCCCCGGATTTGGGTTGCTGCAAATCAGACCCCTTAGGCATGTCCACCTCCCAGCTCATGGGCAGCTATTGGCAGACACCTGTACCGCTGGTGGTAGGTGCCCGGTGGTGGACGCTGTTGTACCTGAAAACCCACACCTAGAAATGGACCCCATAGACTAGCCTAGGTACCAGGATGGTCGCCATTGTGGAGTACTTGGCAGCAGAGAATGAGATGCTACCATTTGTATAAAAAGACTAAAATGGGGGAGAAATGAATAGCTATGCACAGGCATCAAAGCACATCAACTCTCTCCAGGGGGGAGTGCAAAGAGCCAGGTGGAGGGGAATGTGTCCTTGTTCGCCCTTTTTATACCTTCAAAGTTATTCTGGAGAACTTAGAATAAAGACCAGGGAAGAGAAATCCATGTGGGATGGTAAGAGGAACAGGTTAGATGAGATAGAGGAACTGTGTGGGGGCAGCTGCTGAGTTGAACGGGCCCGAGGGAGCACTCAGCAGGTGGCTGGGCCTTCGAGGTGGGGGCTCTGGGGACCAGCAGCAGCTCACGGACAGGCCAAGGGCCCAGGAGGTTGGAAGAAAGTGCCGTCCAGACTCTCTGGGAATGAGGCCCTGTCAGGTCAAGGCTCAGGCTGCTACTCTAGGACTGGCCCATGTATCGAGCAGCTACTCATCATGGGCCGGAGCAGGAGAGCAAGCATTTGTAGCCCCCAGAGCCCCCTCCTCACTTCTTCCTTCTCTCCTGATGTGCAGCACCATTAATTTCCTTTGCACCTTTGCACATTTATCTACATGAAGGCACATGGTATGAGCTCTTTGGGGGGGGGGGTGTGTCTTTTAATTGTTCCTCTTCCTTTTTTCTTTTTTTGTTAAATATATTTTTTTATTGGAGGAAGGGAGAGGGAGAGAGAGATAGAAACATCAACGATGAGAGAGAACCATTGATCGGCTGCCTCCTGCACGCCCCCAACTGGGGATCGAGCCTGCAACCCGGGCATATGCCCTTGACTGGAATCGAACCTGGGACCCTTCAGTCCGAAGTCCAACGCTCTATCCACTGAGCCAAACCAGCTAGGGCTCTCCTCCTTTTTTTCTGTCCTCCATTGCTCTTTTTATTTTATTAAAATATATTTTATTGATTTTTTATAGAGAGGAAGGGAGAGGGATAGAGAAACATCAATGAGAGAGAGACATCGATCAGCTGCCTTCTACACACCTCCTACTGGGGATGTGCCTGCAACCAAGGTACATGCCCTTGACCGGAATCAAACCTGGGACCTTTCAGTCCGCAGGCCAATGCTCTATCCACTGAGCCAAACCGGTTAGGGCCATTGCTCTTTAAAAAAAAAAAAAATTTTCCCCATCACCATTTATCCCATCTATGCCCCCTTCCACCTCCACCCACCCCGACGCCTACAATCTCCCCCCTTGCTCCTTCTTTGTTAAGATAATCGGGTTATTTGTTCTGTACAATTTGCACCCGACTGGATCTGGCGGGTTGCATCCCTGTGGTGTAGGTTCCCCACTTTCCTTGTAGACTGAAGGGTGGAGTCTGGATGTTCGAGCAGGTTTAATTCTGTGCTCTAAGTCCTCCCATGGCTCCCCAGTGCCTTTGGGACCAAAACCAGAGCTGTCATCACAGAGCCACCGGACTCAGGGTTCTGCCCCTCCCCTCTACCCCTATTCCCCCTGCCTCCCACTCTTCTCCCTGCTCTGGCCACTCTGCATTGGCTATTTGTTCCACCCAGAGGCTCCTCTTCCTCTCCCTGTGGGTGAGGGAGGGGTCTGTCTTGGTCACTGCTGGGTCCACAGAGCCCAGAAGCGGCCCCATGAAATAGGAGGCATCTGTCGAATGAATAAACCCAAAATGGCAAAAGTGGTGGGTGCTGACACCCTAATTTTTTGTTTTTGTTTTGTTTTGTTTTTTTAGTCCTCACCCAAAGATATGTGTGTGTGTTTAATTGATTTTTTTTTAAAGGCAGGAAGGGAGAGAGAGAAACATCCATTGGTTGTCTGTGCCCACACCGAGGGTCACCCCCCCCCACACACACACACATACACACAAATGTCCACTCAATGCACACAGGGCATGTCCTGGGAGGGTCTTCAGGACCCAAAAATGAAAGGGTCAGGAGAGGGGAGATACCAGAAAGGACTTCAGAATGGTGAGGATTTTTAAAATATATATTTTATTGATTTTTTTACAGAAAGGAAGGGAGAGGGATAGAGAGTTAGAAAAAACATCAAGAGAAACACCCATCAGCTGCCTCCTGCACACCTCCTACTGGGGATGTGCCCGCAACCAAGGTACATGCCCTTGGCCGGAATCAAACCTGGGACCTTTCAGTCCACAGGCCAACGTGCTATCCACTGAGCCAAACCCGTCAGGGCCAGAATGGTGAGGATTTGAGGGCACTGTTAGGGGTCTTCTGAGACACAGAAACAGACAGGGAGAGGCAGAGCCATCCTAGGGACAGGTGGGGCAAGAACCCAGATCCCCCTCCAATGCTCATCTCCAACACCCAGTGCCTCGCTGTAGCCCTGCCCGACCCATTGCTGGGGTCCTCCGCCCCGCACCACTGGGTCCAGGCTACACCTCCTCCCAGCCTCTCCACCAGCTGATTCACCCCCAACCCACTTCCCCCCGTGCCCCATTCTCCCCCCTGCACCCACCTGCCCACACCCAGACCTGCCCCCTGGCTCCCCAGTCCCCTCTCCCAGCCCACAGCCCGCCTGCTGGATGTAGCTGACCTCGGGATTGCGCCCGCCACCTGGGTGTGCGCCCGGACTCAGCCACCACCTGTTCGTGTCCGGGACGACGCTGTAACCAACCGAGCCACCCTGAGCAGGGCCCGACGTCCTGATTCCAGAGGTGGGTAAACTGAGGCATGCAGCCGGTGCTCCGGGGCTGCACTGTCATGAACGACAGGGGGGAACTGGGGGAGGAAAAGGCCGTGGGTGCCCGGGGAGGGGAGCGAGTCATCATCCTTCCCTCCCCGTTACCCAGGCCTCGGTTTCCCCTTCCCCCGGGCTGGCGCCCCGCCACGCCCGCAGCCTGGGTTTGTGGCCGCCGAACCATCACCCCCCGCCCTCATTTTTTCAGTTTCCCCGTCGGTCTCCCTGGGGCTGGGTGCCCCCTCCCACCGC